GTTAGTTTAGTATCTCATTGAGGTTAGTTTAGCATGTTACTTAAGATTTTAAAACGCAACCAACCCCCCAGAAGGGGGGCGGTTAGTTTAGTTTCTTCCACAAGGTTGGTTGCGTTTTACAAACTTGAACAACCCCCCCGAGGCGCTCCGAAAGGAGCGCTTTGCTCTAGTAGTTTAAAATAATGGCGATAAAGCGTCTATGATAACCATAAAAAATAAACATAATTCAAACTGCACTGTTTCTACCCGACTGTATGATGCAAACACCCAAACTGCACTGGTTTCCAGAAACTGAAGTTTCTCTTCGTGAAGTTTGAGGTGTTCCGAGTTGAAAAGAACATGAATATTATCTCAAGGATATTGCCAGAAATATTGATGCTTTGGAGTCATAAACAGCACCATATGTCCTTGTTAATAAAATGGCAAGGCACGCTGTTTCTACTGTTGTCAACAGAACACAATTTCTATTGCCGCTTTGTATCTAACGGAATATACTTCATGCAGCTCTTGAGAGTGCAGTGCCCTTTAATTATGTCCCCCTAACACTTGCATACATTTGCAACTGTAATTGCAGTTATCGCTTCTTTCCAAGTGGCAGGGCCGTATCTTGACATAGTTCCGCTGTCCCCCACGTCAATCATATCTGGAACAAATTTAACCGCAAGTTCGCTTATATGTGACCTTTCTACGACCGCCAGCTTCAACACAGTCGCAACACAGAAACCTCAGATTAGATAGCCGTTATAAGATAAGGATCTGAACTCGTTATCTCTCGAGTCTGAGGCGCTAAAACTCCCAGCCGCTTGTGCTGCGTGCCTCGCAAAATAATTGCGTGTTTTGTTGGGGCTTCTTTAGTAAAATATGAACAGAGTAGTGATTCATATTTTATGGTAGGTTTGGGATGATTCCAGCCTCTAACTTGAGACCTGGGCATTGTCTTAAAACCACGCAAAATACTTTAAACTCTATTAAAATCACCTTAAAGGAGTGAATCGTTTATAGAGGAACTGAAAATTATGGCCGGCAGGGTGCATCTAAAGCTTGATGTGAAATCCGAACCTTGAGCCGAAGACCTTCTGCATGGAGTACCAATGCATTAACCCTAGACTAAGGGCCAAATTCACACTCGCCTATTAACTTGTGAGCCTCAAGTTTTTGAATCGGGATAGTGTATTGAAACTTCAATGCCATCCACTAACAGTTTAACCAACTTACTATTATATAGGTTCATATGTCACCAGTAAGAAGCTTCGTAGTTCTGGCCACGTTAAAAGACGTAATGTCTGATATCAGGGAACTGTTTTTTGTCAAGGTCTTAGACAATTTACGCGGACCGCACAGAAAATATTGGAAGACCGCGGTTTGATTACCCCTACTTTGGACCATGCTTCTGATTTCTAATGTAATGACAAGAGTCAGTGCCAATTGCATAGAATTCCTTCTAACCTGATAATAAAATAACAATGGCAATTTAGGATCTGATATTATAATCCGTGTTCATGTAACAAGAGGTTGTTGTAATATTACCACATAATGTTATATGAGACAAAATCTGCATGATCTTGTAATTAGCGAAGAAATTGATGCTCGTAATTCTGTTTGGTTTTTAAAAATCAGAACAATTGACGTGGTGTGGGCAGGTTCAAAGAGTTGTAGACTCAAACCAGTACTGGAGTGGATGCTACCGGGAAAGAGGACAACAGGAAGATCGAGAGATAGATGTATACAAGTAAATCCAAGATGGCGAGGCGGACGGATGAGTTGAAGAATGACATTAGATGGGTAGTAAGAATTGCGTCTGAGAATCGGAAAAAAAACCATCCATACGAGGTGCGATCGGAAAGTTTATAGACTGCGCCTATAAAAACCCGTACACTTATCTCAGGTATTAAATTCATCCATCACCCTCGAAGTAGTTCCCCTGGGAGTGAACACAACGATCCCAGCGCCGCTGCCAAGCCTGGAAGCATCCCTGGAAATCTTTCTTTGTCAGCCTGTCAAGCACCATCTGCGATTCTGCCTGAATCTCTTCTATCGTCTCAAATCTCATTCCCTTTAGCTGAATTTTCATCTTTGGGAAGAGGAAGAAGTCACACGGAGCTAAATCCGGCGAATAAGGAGGGTGCAGGATGACGGCCATGGTGTTTGAGGCCAAAAACTGCCGAACTTTGAAGGCGGTGTGCGCTGGTGCGTTGTCATGATGCGTCGCATGTGGAGTTCTTCCTTTAGAATCAGCGGACAGGTCCCATAGCCTATCCCAACAATGTCGCACA